ACTCCTCACCGGTGCCAGGAGAGGGACGTGAGGAGTGTGGTCTCAGAGCCGCTGTGAGAGCTGAGTGAGGCCGGGACAGGAAACCGGCGCCCGGTGCACGGTGGTCCGCACAGCTGACAGCCCTGATCACCCTCCCAGTCCGCACTGGTGGTGGTGGTGGGGGGGGGGGTTTGGGGGAGGAGAGAGATGCCCCAGGACGGCTGGGCCAGAGCGGCGGTGGGTAGAAGGCATCCTGGGGTCATGACTGCAGCTCCGCCGGGGGCAGGAGGCTTTGGGGTCCCATCACACCTTCAGAAACATGAGTTATGATCTGAATTTCAATGGCTACTTCAGTGGTTGGCAACCTCAGCTCGCAAGCCACGCCCCTTGAGTTTTTAGCAAAGGCCAGCTTAGGAGTGCCCTAATTAAGTTAAAAACAATGTACCTACGTATACAGTTTAAGTTTAAAAAATGTGGCTCTCACAAGAAATTTCAAGTTGCTATTTGGCTCTGTGGACTAAAGAGTTTGCCGACCACGGGGTCGCTACATCGTTACCTAGAAATAGTTCTGGAGGCTCCTGCTCTGAGTCGTGGGAGGCAGAGGGGGCCCACAGGACACCTTTAAGGTGAGACACGCTGTGTGAGGCCCCAGGTGTCTCCAGTGAACCTCACAGACAGACAGAGAGAAAGGACCCCCCTCCCCCACACTTACCCCCTCCCAGAAAAGCTGTGGCTCAGCCTGTTGTGTACAGGGGCTCAACCTACAGCCTCGTTGCAAATAAAACTTCCGGTAAAAATAAGGTGACCAGGCGTCCCAATTTTTTTTTATTTTTTTATTTTTATTTTTTTTTTATTTTTTATTTTTTTTAAATATATATATTTTATTGATTTTTAACAGAGAGGAAGAGAGAGAGATAGAGAGCTAGAAACGTCGATGAGAGAGAAACATCGGCCAGCTGCCTCTTGCACACCCCCTACTGGAGATGAGCCCGCAACCAATGTACATGCCCTTGACCGGAATCGAACCTGGGACCTTTCAGTCCGCAGACCAATGCTCTACCACTGAGCCAAACCGGCTTCGGCCCAATTTTTTTTTAAAAAAAATATTTTATTGATTTTTCACAGAGAGGAAGGGAGAGGGATAGATTGTTAACAATTTGTCCCGCGTCCCGCGGCATTTTAAAGAAGTCCCAATTTTTGGAAAGAAATTGGGACTTTTTTAAAACGCCACGGGACGCGGGACAAATTGTTAAAAATCGGGACTGTCCCGCCAAAAGCGGGACGTCTGGTCACCTTAGGTAAACAGCTGAAAACAACTGAGCTAGAGCCGCCTTTGAAAGGCAGAGAAGCAGCCGGGACCGGTTTGGCTCAATGGATAGAGCGTCGGCTTGGGGACTGAAGGGTCCAGGGTTCGGTTCCGGTCAAGGGCATGTACCTTGGTTGCGGGCATATCCCCAGTAGGGGGTGTGCAAGAGGCAGCTGATTGATGACTCTCTCTCATCGATGTTTCTAACTCTGTATCTCTCTCCCTTCCTCTCTGTACAAAATCAATAAAATAATAAAATATATTAAAAAAAAAAAAAAAAAAAAGAAAGGCAGAGAAGCAGAAGCTGCCCAGAGAGGGATGATTACTGGCCCAAGGCCACACAGCAAACCTGGGTGAGAGCCGGCGTGGCCCGGTTCTTGCTGCCTGGTTACCCCCCGCTGGTCTGGCGGGCCCGCTGAGCCCCCACCTGGATTCCTGGTGCTGATGGGGTGGGTCTGGGGGTCTCTCCCCAGGCCCTCGGGAATCCCGTGCCAGGGGCTGCCGGTAGAATGGGGGTTTACACACTCAGGGGAGCACTGTCCCCCCCTCAGGTGTTCTCCCCTCACTTGCCTGGCTCCTCAGCCCTGCGTTCCCCTCGGTGAGGGCCTGGAGCTGGCTGCAGCGCCCAGGGGCCGTGCTGGGCTGGGGGTGTGCCCCAGTGCCCCCCCCCCCACCCACCCAGGGCCCCCCCACTGGCAGCTCGGACTCCTGTCTCAGCCTCGTCCCTCATTAGCTCTAATGAGCCAAGTCCGGGGACAGAGGAGCATTGGAATTGTGCTTCTCTCTGCTTCCCAGGACGAGGATGAGTGCCGCCCAGCTTTCTCTGTCGACGCCGGGGAGAGGGACGGGGTTTCCGGGCACTCAGCCACAGGGGCCCCCAGATGGAGGGGCATGCCAGCGGCATCAGCTGGCAGAGCCAGCCCTGTCCAGGCTGATTCCTCCTCTCAGAGATGCCATGGCAAAGGCAGGTGCCAGTGCCAGGAAGGGAAGGTGGTGAGGCAGGCGGGTGGGGGAGTGGCCGGGTCCCCACCCAGGGCAGACACACCCCTGACCTCACTTTCCCAAGCAATGGAGCTTCCCGGCTCCTGTGAGTGACAGAGTGATTGTGTTTAATATATATATATATATATATATATATATATATTTTTTTTTTTAATATATATTTATTTTTTACAGAGAGGAAGGGAGAGAGATAGAGAGCTAGAAACATCGATGAAAGAAATCATCGACCAGCTGCCTCTTGCACACCTCCCATCGGGGACGTGCCCGCAACCAATGTACATGCCCTTGACCGGAATCGAACCTGGGACCTTTCAGTCCGCAGACCAACACTCTACCACTGAGCCAAACCGGCTTCAGCGTGTTTATTTTTATGGATTTCAGGGAATAAGGGAGAGGGCAGATAGAAACATCAATGGTGAGAGAGAAGCATGGGTCGGCTGCCTCTTGCATGCCCCCTACTGGGGATGGAGCCTGCAACCCGGGGATGGAGCCTGCAACCCAGGCATGGGCCTGACCGGGAATCGAACCGTGAGCCCTTGGTTCATAGGTCAATGCTCAACCACTGAGCCACCGCTGCCAGGCACAGAAGCGGTTTGAACCAGCCACGTCCTGACTCCATTGCTTGGTGACTGGAGAACGTGGCTACATGGGCTCCTGGCGCACAGAACGGGGACACCACAGCCAGCCTCACTGGGCCGGGCCTGAAGGGGAGAACATGCCGCCTGTAGGTGGATTTTCCAGGTCAGAGGGTAAGAGGCATCTGCCGTGTCCCGGTGGTGACACAGCCCGCGTGTGGGGCACCTGGGGCTTGCCAGAACACAGCCTCCCTCAGGTCCATCCACAACGGTGCCCACGCCGGGCAGGGACCAGGTCTGCGGCCTAGCCCCATGGGACCAGCAGGCCCCACACGTAACGAGGACGCTGCTGAGCACAAAGCAGCTGAGTGCCCAAGGGACCCCGAGTCCCAGAGTCCCGAGGCCTGCCCAGGCCCCAAAGGCACGGTGAGAGAAGCCACCTCTGGCCCTGAGGGCCCCGACCTGACCCCACCCTCAACCCCTACCCACCCACAACCCCAAGCAAACCCTCCCGGAAACAGAGGTGCACACCAGACAGGCTATAGGGCTTTTTTATTGATGCCTCGCGGTTTTAACAACTTCGTGAAAAAAATATACAGCTCAGAATCTGGGACGGACCACCGTCGGGAGTGGGTTCAGGGGCAGGCAGCGGGGGCTGCACTACTGGGGACCCGAGCACCCACGGGGCTCCGGGGCTTGGAACAGGTTAGTGTCCGAGTCAGGATCTGGCAGCAAAAGGGAGGCTGGATCCTGCGGTAGCCAACACCCCTCCTCCTGCTCCCCCCATCCCCTCCCCTCCCTGTTGGCTGCCAGGGGACAGAGGCAGTGGGTCAGCCTGTTCCCAGGACAGAAAAGCCATCATCCGCTCACCCTGGGACTCACACCAGGCGCCTATGCAATCCCCTTGAGCAGGGTTAGAGGACACGGAATGACATCTGTACTTCAGAGGAACAACAGTAACTGTTTCATGTGAGTGTGTTCCGTATGGCAAAGGGCACACGTATACCCCAAAAAACAAAAAACAAAACAAAACAAAACAGCCCCACGATCCTTCTGTTTTGTTGCTACATCTGGCCGCCCTGGTACCTCTCCCCTCAGGGCCCTATCCTCCACAGCTGGCGAGAGGCCTGGGAAAGGAGGAAGCTGTGTGTGTGTGTGTGTGTGTGTGTGTGTGTGTGTGTGTGTGTGTAGAGGGGGTAGTGAAGAGGGAATAACTAAGTCCAAAAACAAAAACTTTTACCCTCCCTCCCCCCAGGGATGATATATTACTTTAAAAAAAAAAAAGCCATTTTCCAGAAATATCCTACTACACTGGACGCCTCCTGCCGTTCATACTATGGGGGGAGGGGGGCTGGCACGCAGACACGCACCCCATACCATCCTCAGTGAAGGTCGGGCGCACGGAGTATAAACTGAAAGGGAGTTCCCTCGGATGGCGGATCCAGGGCTGTTCCGGAAGCTGCCCTCGGAGATGCCACATACCAGACAGAGCGGCTGAACCAGGGGCTGCGCGGCCACGGCGGTCCGAGCCCGGTGTCCTCTGGCAGGCCCGTCCCCCAAAGGCTAGAAGCCCAGGGCTCCCGCCCCGCCCCGTCCTCCTCCCGGGAGTGATCAGGGCTGTCAGTGCGGCTCTCCTCCAAGGCGCTCTAGGCTCCGTGTGCTGGGGCAGCGGGGAGGGAGGGGCCGGCTGTGCTCACCCCAGGCTCCGGTGACACATGTTTAAGGGGGAGAGGAGGTCACTGTCAGGCCACAGCAGGAACTCCAAGAGAGCATCGGGGGAGGCAGGAGAGCCCTGTCCTTAGCCCCGGGCAAAGGTCGCCCCTGAGCCGACCTGCACCACGGCAGGTGGCAGGCGAGCATCTGGCAGCTGTCGGAGGCCAACGTGGGGGGGAAAAGGAACTGGCTTCCCGCTGTGAGGACACAGCCCCGTCCCACGGAGCACAGGGAGGCCGGGCTGTGGACAGCGTCAGGCCCCAGGCTCAGCCAGCACCCCCCACCCAACCGTGAGGCCCAGGGTCCTTGGCCGAAGCCAAGCTCTTGGCTGTCCCCCTCAACGGGAAGGGGGTGGGCTGGAGGCAGGGAGATGGGGGGCCAAGGGCGCGGAGCCGCCTCCGGGGCTGGAGCCACCTCGGCCGGCCTCACACTCGGATTTCATCCTCCTCCTCCTCATCCATGAAAGAGAACTCCTTGTCGGGCTGCCTGGGGAGGGGGGCCCGGGCCCTCTCCGGCCCCTGGAAGGCGGGGCTGCGCTCCTCCAGGACGCTGGACGTGCAGCTGGACAGGGAGCTGCTGTCCCGCGTGGTGTGGCTGCCCAGGCTGCGGGCGGAGCCGGGACTCGGGGCGGCGGCCGCCCAGCCCTCGTCCTGCGGCACCGGCGGGGGCTGCAGGGGCGAGTCCCGGCCGGCCTTGCCTTCCTGCCTGGATGGGAGAGGGACCCCCCGCCCGGAAAGGGGAACCTTGGGGAGGCCGCCCGGCTCCTCCTCGTCGCCGTGGTAACCGCCATCCTCCTCCTCCTCCTCCGGGTCCCACTCCTCCTTGTTCATGATGCTCAGGACGTCGCCCAGCATGGAGGGCCCCAGGTCGATGTGGAAGGACATGATGGACTCGGCGTGCTTCAGCCCGAAGCCGGCCTTGGGCACGACGGGCAGGTCCGTCAGGTCCCCGAAGGCCTGCTCGTCCAGGAGGGGGTCGAGGGCGTGGGGGGAGGCGGCCCCGTTCCGCGGCCGGGGCACCCCCTCCTCCCCGAGGGCCGCCTCGGGGCCCCCCTCCCCGCCGCTGGCCTTCTTCACGGGGCTGGACGACAGGCTCTTGGGCAGCTTGCCGGCGCCCCGCTCCGCGGCCTCCTTCTCGTTCAGCTGGGGCAGGGACATGGCGTTCTTGACGAACAGGGCGGAGTCCCGCAGCGAGCCCAGCATGTCCCTCTGCTCCCGGTCCCCCCGGGTCACCGACTGCGACCGCTTGCTGCCCCGGAACTTGCGGGACAGGAGGCCGCGCTTGGAGGAGGAGGAGGCGGGCGCGGCAGACGCCTGCTCGTCGGGGGGCTCGCCCTCCAGCTCCCCGGCCTTGCTGTGCAGGAAGGAGGTGTCCCCGAAGGCGTCCCCCGCCCGGCCCACGTGCATGGTGTGGCGGAAGTCGCCCAGCGGCGCGCTGATCATCTCGGCCGTGAGGTCCACGCGGGAGCGGCGCTTGGAGTGCACGGAGCTGGACACCAGCTGCTTGAGGATGGGCATGGTGCCCGGGGGCGGAGGCGGGGCCTCCGAGGCCGCAGGTGGGGCTGGCGTCTGTCCGTCAGGTGCGAGGCGTCCGTCAGAGGCGAGGTCCTGCAGGCGGAGGGGCCGGGGAGGACAGCCTCATGGAGCTGTGGGAGCAGAACAGCAGGAGAGGGTTAACCGGGGCTGGCCTCCTGCACAAAAGCCCATCTGCCAGCCTCGAGCGGTTATGCAAACCCCAGCTCCCACCCCAGCCAAACCATAGGACGGGAGCCAGCAATCAAAGCCGTAGCCCCGCCCTCCCTCTCCATCCACAGGTCCTCAGGGGTGGGCCGGCTTTTTGCAAAGCTGTTTGTGGAGTTCAAGGGGCCATAGACACACATCCCCTGAAACCTGAGAGGAGGGGGGGAGAGAGGGGGAAAGAGAGAGAGAGAGAGGAAGAGAGAGAGAGAAAGAGGAAGAAAGAGAAAGAAAGAGAGAAAGAGGAAGAAAGAGAGAGAAAGAGAGAGAGAAAGAGGAAGAAAGAGAGAGAGAGAAAGAGAGAGAGAGAAAGAGGAAGAAAGAGAGAGAGAGAAAGAGAAAGAGAGAAAGTAAGAGTAAGAGAGAGAGAGAGAGAGAGAGAGAGGAAGAAAGAGAGAGAAAGAGAAAGAGAAAGAGAAAGAAGAAAGAGAGAAAGAGAAAGAGAAAGAGAGAGAGAGAGAGAGAGAGAGAGAGAGAGAGAGAGCGCTTTCTTCCAAAGGACAATGCCGGCTCCCGCCCTCCACACCTCCGCCAGCCAGGACGCTGCCAGGGCCAACAGGACCGCGTTGACTCGTGAGGAGGTGGAGGTGCGCCCGATGCCACAAGGCAGAGCAGGAAAGAGCCAGACGGAGCCCCGGACGCGGCCCCTCTGGAGACACGCGGGAAGTTCCTCCTGCCTGACCTCGATCCCCGTGAAGCCAGTGGGCACCTCACCCTGAGTCACCGCCCTCCGAGGAGGGAGAGGACGGGACAGGCCCCAGGGCGCTGCTGCCTGGCACCTCAGCCTCCGTGGGCGGCCGGCTCACTTTCTGAATCAGAACTGGGGTGGGGCTGCGGGATCCACAGAACCAGCTCCCCAGCCTGGCAGCCCTGCTTGGGTGTCCCTCAAAGGAGGATCCCGCCCACCCGCGAAGTCTCCTCTTTGTCAAGGACCCACCCTCTGCCCCCGGGGGGGAGGATCAGGACTGGGAGACTCTCTCCCAACTTCTTTAATCACTAGGGGTGCAGGAGGCCGGGACGCCAGATGACCCAGGTCCCTGAGGGCCACGCAAAAGCGTGAGGCACCACAGCCCAGGCAGCACCTGGCAAGCGTCAAGTTCAAGTTCAGTGCAGTGTTGGAGCCAAACTGGCCCCTTTCTCTCAGGAGGGACCTGCCCCCCAAATGCTAAACCCAGCAGCACAGGACCGAGCAGGGTGGGGAGAGATAGGCGAAGGGACTTAGCCAAGTATGTGGGTGAGGGGAGTGCTAGGTCACCAGTCCTACTAAGAGCACCCTCATTGCAGGCCCATCCTTCCCCATGCCAAGTTCAACCCGTGGGTGCCCCCCCCCGAAATTCTTCCTCCCTTCCCACCTCCGCCACCGCATCCCACCTGGCCCCTGACATCCGCCCCACAGGTCTCCCTACTGCTGTCCCTTTCTAGTCCGTCAGCTAAAAATAAACTCTATCGGACTCCCCAGGCAGACCCGCTGGTCCAGCCATCAGTTGCCGCATGCCCACTCGATGCCACTGCTCGCCGCTCCTCTACGCCCGCACTCTGCCCTGGCCCCCGAGTCCCTCTCCTGGGCTCCCGTCACCTGGCTCGCCCGGCACCCTTCAGGGCTCTGCCGAGACGCCACGTCCTCGGGGAGACCGTCCTTAGCCAGGTAGCGTCCTGCCCGCCACCTCCCTCACCCCCAATCCCAAGCAGGCACCGTTATCCTGTCCCACCCCTGCCGGCTGGACTGCAATCTCCTACTGGGCTGGGAGCTTCCAGAACGTTCCCACAGGACTGTTCACCGCCGGATCCCACCTTCCACACAGCACAGCTGGCCTCAAACACCTGCGGGAGGGCCCCGGCCTCCCCTCCCCAGCCCTGACTGTCTCCCTTTCGCCTTCCCAAGGCCAAGGACAGTGCTGGCTTCGCTTCCGCAGACAGCCCGGCTCCAGGCCCCCAGCCTGACCTCCCTGTGTCCTCTAACCCCATCCCACGCTCTCCTCCGAGCCCAGCTGCTGAGGCCGGTCTCATGGCTCCCTCTGCAGCCAGAGCCCTCCTCCCTGCAGGCAGTCACACTGCTGGCCACCCCAGCAAAGAGTTCTCCGAGGCGGGGGAGAGCCAGGGGCAGCCCTGCGGCTGGCACAGGTGAGCTGGCTGGCTCAGAGCTAGGGGTGGACCGTGCAGAAGGCCTTGACATGACCCACTATGCTGGGCAGCTCTTCCTCCTCGCTCTCTTCTTCCTCCCACCCAGTCCTAGGAAAAGCAGCTTTCCCTACCCTGCCCTGCCCGCCCCCTCCGGCTGCCCACGCCCTGGGACCTGACCTCTAAGCAATTAGCCGGGAGCAGCCAGACCAGGGATTGGCAGACGCTTTCATTTTTATTCATTTCAGAGAGAAAGGGAGAGGGAGAGAGATAGAAACATCAATGATGAGAGAAAATCATTGATTGGCTGCCTCCTGCATGCCCCCTACTGGGGACTGAGAGCCCACAACCCACTCAGGCATGTGCCTTTGACTGGAATCGAACCTGGGGCCCTTCAGTTCCCCAGCCTGAGGCTCTATCCACTGAGCCAAACCAGTTAGGGCTATGGAGGGCCAGACAGTTGAGATTTCAGCTCCGCGCCTAAGAGCGTCTTTGCCGGAGCCATGCAACTGTCCTCGCAGCAGGAAGGCAGCAGCGGACTCCACGTGAACAAAGGGGTGGCTGCGTCCCCATAAAACCTCATTTCCCACAATAAGCGGTGGGCTGGGCTCGGCCTGGGGGCCACAGCTGGCTGACCCCCTAAATTAGACACTCAAAGAGCCCTGGCCTTCGGGTCCTCCCCTCACCACGGCTCCGGCTCCAGAGCTCTTTCCACTCCCCCCAGGCCTCCGGGAGGCAGCATCCCGGTCAGCCGAGGAGCAGCCCTCCCACTTCCGCTGCAGAGGGCAAAGTCCGGAGAGAGGAGGAGCCTGGCTGCTCCCTGGGGAAAGTTCCAGTCTGACCCTGGAGCGGATCCCGGCCCCTGGAGCCCGGTCATTCCTGGTGGCGGGCGGTCCTGTGCTAGTAGGATGGTCAGCAACATCCCCGGGCCTCGACCCCATCAGATGCCAATAGCTTCGCTTCCCCAGCCGTGACAACCAGAACATCCTCAGAAATGCCGGGTGTCCCCCGGGGGGGCAGCCTCACCCCTGGCGTAAGAACTGCTGCCCGGAAGTGGGAACACGCAGGTGAAAATAAAGCAGGTGAACAAGCAGGAAGAGAGAGAGAGAGAGAGGGAGAGGGCGGGAGGGACATAGGGAGTCAGGATGGTGGGCACAGGGACGGAACGCCCAGGGTCCCATGAGGGCAGGAATCCCCAGACCCAGGAAGCAACTTGCAGCCTGTGGTTTCCGATCTCAAGTGCCTGTTGGAGAGCAGAAGGGAAACCGCAGGCCCCGGGGCCGCCCGCAGGGACTGGGTATCCCGGCCACATGGCCACAGGACAGGGCCATGCAGCCGAGGGAGTGACGGGTCAGCAGGGAAACCCCTAGACCAGCCGGGGACACCCAGGGCCCTGCAGGGCCCCACCCCCTGAGAAGGCGGAGGCAGGTCTGGCTTCTCTGGGGGCAGGCACCAGGCTCTGCGGCGTGAGCACATCCAACCGTCTTCCACATCCAGCAGGAAAAGGACCCATGGCCCAGGAGGGGCTGGGCTCTGCCTCCTGGAGCCGCAGAGCAGACTGGCCAGGCCGGGCGTGAGGGCTGGTGGGAACTCAGGGGCTGTTCTAGGCCCCCGAGTGACAACTTCATCCTAAGCTTCTCACAGAAGGATTTGGGGGTGAGGAGATGAACACGGGTTCAAATACACGCAGGTGGCCCGGGCCAGTTCAGGAGGCCGGGCGCCCTCCCTCCCCCACACGGGGACCTGCCAAGGGAGCCGGGGTTGTGGGAGGGGGTGTGGCTCGGCGCCGTGACTCAGCTCTGGGGAAGTGGCTGAAATGGGCCTCAGAGGCCACGCCCCAGAGCCGGTCCTGGGCAGGACACTCCCACCCCACCCCACCCCACCCCGGAAGCCACATCCCACTCTCCTGGCAGTGACCACGGCTCTCCGCCTCTCCCAGCCTCTGGTGGAACCAGATTCCTCTGCCCTCGGCCGCACTGACCACAGAACATTCCTTCAAGGCAGAAGCAGCTGAAGGCCAGGGCCCTGGTCAGTCCACTCAGTCCACACCCTGGGCTCCGCTCCAAGCCTATCCAGGGAACAGAGACTCACCCCCCGGTCTTCCCATCTGCTTGATCTGCAGTCGGTAGGCACACAGCAGGCCAAGTCCCTGGCAGCCTGGCCCGCACAGGATAGTCCTGGGCAGCCAGGCAGGCCTCCTACTCTGCAGCTGACCCACAGCTGACCCGCAGCTCACCCCGGAACACAGTCCACACGCTGACACCACTGCCTGCCCAGCCCCCTCCACTCCGATATCTGCACCAGGCAGCCTGGCTGGACAGAAGGGGCCTCGGGCACTGCATCATTCGTGGCTGGAATGACCGCAACAGGCTTCATTCATTACTCTCTCTCTCTCTCTCTTTTTTTTTTTTAAATAAGATGTTTGTATTGATTTCAAGAGGGAGGGAGCGAAACATCAATCGGCCGCCTCCTGCACACCCCCTTCCTGGGGATGGAGCTCACAAGCCTCCAAGGTGCCCTGATGGGGAATCGAACCGTGATCTTCAGGCTCAGAGGTCGAGCCACACTGGCTGGATCACTGGTTACTCTTTCTCTGTCTCTGCCTCGCTCTTTCCCGCTCCCTCTCTCATTTACTGCACACTCATCGATTTCCCCACACGCTG